TTCTCGAGTTAAAGGGAGGACCCAGTGTGGCCGGTATGAAAACAAGCCAAAACTTTTCATTCGTCGGTAAACACTTCGCATGCCAATAGGTCTTCCGTGTTCTGCAAACCATTCATTTGCAATGGACCTGGTAGTGGAGAAACGGTCCCTTAAGGCAAATAATCTTAGGCGGCGATCTTCACGGTCTGTTGTTATACGGCGGCGTCCAGTGCCCCTTGCTCTTTGCGTACGGCCTTCTCGAAGCCATGCCTGATAACACCTAACCACAGTGTCTACACTTCTTTGCACTCTAACTGCAATTGCCCGAAAAGAAGTCCTACTATACGGCTCCTATCAAACTCACTAAGTTGACGAAATCGTACAGGTCTCCGTACTCTAGGCATCGTAACCGATCGTAAAGGATGTCAAGAACCAAAATCCGCCAACGTTGATTCTTTACTGCGGCTGAAATATTCATTTTTAGAGCGTTAGTGAATTAAAAAAAAGCAGTATAAAAACCGGAATGTCCAACTGATAAGGCTGAAAATTTTTTCACATGTTATTTACAGTAAGATAAATACATTCACCAACTTTTATTGAAATAAAACCATTTAAACTGGGTGTTCGGATTTATATGTCACTTAGTATATATATATATATATATATATATATATATATATATATATATATATATATATATATATGTATTAGAAATTATCTGACCTTTCCTTTAAGAAGTTATATTAATTGGATTCTCTTTATATATTTTGAGCTACAGTGGTTAGCTGGAATATTGGTCTTAAATGCTGGGTAGCAGTAGATTCTCCTTCGAGGCTATAGCTTTTAAAATTTTCTTTAACGTAGTCGGCACGGAGCGGTCACTGACATATAGTTAAGTTCCCGTATCATCAAAAATTACCAAAGCAAAAACTCCTCATCCCTCTTCCGTGCTTACGTAATACTTGAATGGTCCTGTGTTCATTAGATCCATTACTTCAAGATCGCTTGCTCATTGGTCTAAATTCCGACACAGCCGCAAATTTTTAATTCCGCGGGTCAATAGCAAAATCTTGCCTAGGAGCCTCAAGTGACAGGGAGCTGTATTACAATGGCAGCGAGCATCTTCCATAAAAGGCCTTAACTTGGACGATGAACTCTTTTTCGTGTTTTTCCCTCCAACAACGTGCTGGCTACGTAGTTTTTTGTTCTCGCGTAGTGTCGCGCTGCGCCACAGCAAAGTGTACGTGTCGCCGAGGCTACGTGCTCAGCACATCAAACAGCAGTAGCAGCAGCCGCCGTCGCCATAGCCACTGCCTACGGTAAAAGCTCAATTAGGCCGCGTCTAATTGAAGAATGTCCGCTATCCCGCTGCGCATTCCATATAATAGATTTTTATTTGATCTGATTGCTTGCGATTCTCTGCTCCCCCTGGCTCGACAAAGAAGCTACGTGGATCTATACACAGCAGCTTGAGCCAGAATAAAAGAAACAAGTTTAAATCTGACGCGGTGCAAAATCGGAAGCAAAATTAAAAATGAAGCATTGAATGAGAAATGTGGTGCATATTCTCTGAATAAGTCTTTTTAGTTGCAAGATGATAGAATTTCAGTAAGATAGTTTGACCATGAAGCTCACATCTCTACTTACAGGTATTTGGCTCAACTTCGTTCCGCTTTTTACAAATTGAACAATGCCTCAGCTTCTATATTTTGTGGACGTTTAGGACATATGTTTTTAATCTTTTGTCGATATTACTTTGAATATCATGCTTGGGAAGATGCTGCCGGGATAGCCGAAACGTCAAAAAGCTATTATTATAATAAATCGTCGCTCCAGAATGATAGTGAGACAACTTCAAATATACCATATTCGGATAATCGCTTTTTTAATATTTATCAGGCTGTATTTTTTGTATCATTATAATAAACTATATAAGAAGTAGTGCATGTTATAGACTATTAGATAACTATGAGTGGGTTGCAATACCATCAAATTTAAGCTATCCGTTATTTTTTCTATAGAGTAGTTTAAGTTGTCTCAGTATAATACTGGAACGCCTTAAACAAAATTAAATATCTTTTTTTTATTGAAAATACGGAAATTATGAAAATATTTTTAATAATATCTTTTTTGTTGTATGTTGTCCCACTATCTTACTGAAAATTCTACAAAAATGTGAAATTATTTCATGATGTTAGTATTCTATAATAATAATTGTTATAAAATTTACCCGTTTGTTCAATAACTATAAAAATTTCAATAAAATAAGAATTTCGTGAAGATAAACTTTAATAACAATAAAACTTTATTAACTCGTATAAACTCATTTAGACGTAATTAGGGGTAGTTGCAAGTATACGAAATAAACATCAAAAAGGAACAAAAACTAAATTTAAAATATTTTATTCGTCATCGACTACTTCTTGCCCTTTCTTATAGGCTTTACTAATATTTCTGTAAAAATGTCGATTCTTGGGTGAGTATTTCATTTATTTTTAGATGACTCTTCTTTATAACTATGTACATATTTTTATAGTATATTATATCAGGTTCTCCTCTTGTCAAATAAATAACATTAATTTGTCCCCAAGCAGCTCTTTCTACATTTGTATTCAGATTAAACTGACCACAGTAGGAAGTCAACATTATCCAGTCAATAAAGTCATTGAATTTAAAATAATTGACAACGTATGGTTTACCAGTTTTTTTATTACTGTCCAGGAGAATACAAAGATATTTTAAAATGTCTTAGTATAGTTCCACAACCAAACAATTATTGTTTATACTGATTAAAGGAGACGACCTAAACATCAAGGCAACTTAAAACATTTTCATTTAAGTACTTGCTCAAACTAAAGACATTTTAAAATATCTTAGTTTAGTTCCATGAAATTATAACACTTGGCGGAAGTTAATATAAAGACATTTAAATCTGTCCTATTATTACGCAGAACTTCAGAACAAAATTCTATATTCTTGCAACCGGAGCTAAGCATATCATAATATATGACTAGATAGAGCATTAAAAATTGCAGCGGATTCATTAAATATCCCGAAATTGAAACTTTTAACTTGTCTTACTATTATTCTGGGTCGACGATATGTGATTACATATGACGGCCAGCATAACATGCAGACCGAGACATCCACAATAAAGGTTTAAAATTTTGTTCTTTTTTACACCGAAGCAGCAGCGAAGGCCTAAATATGGGGGCACCGCGGCTACTATACAGCTGAACTGTCTAAGTTTGAAATAACAAGGGAAAATCTCCTGAAGCAGATTGTTCCTCAATCTCGATATACTACCGTCAGTTCTGGACGAACGAAGTTCGACACGGTTAGGGTAAGAGGCCGAGGCTAGGGCACTTGTAAGCGGTACCCGAGGCTAGGTCTTACCTGGGCCTTGTACAGGGTGAAGAGGTTATTACGAAAACCTCAAATAAGTAGCTTAGGTTTTTACTAGCGTGAGTAACGAGATGCGTTCGTGCCAGATCAAGTTCTCGGTGATTTGGACACCGACCAGCTGAAATGATAGGCTGGGGTGCTTCTTGTTAGTCAAGGTACAGTACTCTGCTTTGGAAGTATGAAACTGTACCAGAAAGTTGTGGATCGGATAATTCGTTGATATTTAATGGGAACAATGTCGGAGCCAACACCGATCTCAGGAGACATTGTGGGATGAAGAGGAGAACCCGAGAATCTTGCAGCCAGAAAGAAAATCAGCAACTTTAGATCTAAGCTGAATGATCGTATGGCATTTCTTAATCAGAATAATATCCCTAAGAAAAACTAACCCGAGTCTAGTACTATCAAGGGCAGTTCAAACATTTAAATAAATCAAAGATATGTTGTCACCAAGTTACGTACTCAAGTAATCAGGTCCACTGTAAATGACTGTTCCGGATTGTCATTTTTGGGGAAAAAATTGCAAGTCAATTTATAATAAATGAACAATTCACCAATTATGCAATACTCGTATAACAATGAGTTTCAGCCAGTAATTATTGCTACTCGTATTTCTCTTTGGTATAGCTAGTTAGTGATATTGATTATCCGTACACTGGCAATATGACACTGACAATATGGAAAATAATTGTGATGTCAATTCACTGCTTTGTAGTAGTGGGAAAAATTAAGTTACTTGTAGCACAGTTATGCGTTTCTAAACAGATAGTCCGGGACTTCATACACCACCATATACCATCCCAAGAATTCAGAATGGCAGATGGACGCAGTCAAGGATCTGCTTGTCTCCTAGTCTGCAGCGTGGAGATAATTGTGGTGTAAGACGATTTCAAGACATGGTACTTCTTAGAAGAGCGGTACAAGCCTAATGAAGGTAGACGTTTCCACCGGTAAGTATTATTATCATGTTGATACAACGCTGTCACTTTAGTAGGCATTGGTAGACAAACGAGTCAAAAATATGCACTGAAGCTAGGTAATTTTGCCGACAAATAGTGCAATGTGAATAAGTAGGGCTGAAATGGAAATCGTTCGTACCTTCTACTGATCCATGTCAGGACTCTATTTTAAGGTTATGTTACAAATATCTATTTGTATCATATTATTCAAGCTTTTGATTTATATCATTTGTTATATCAGCCGGAAATTTCTTACAATTCAGAAAGAAAACACTTCCTCAGAATACCAAAGCGCTGATGCTGTCACGAAGCAGTAGAAATCTAGTAACATCCCAGCCTTTCTGAATGAGAGAAGAATATGAAAATCAAAGAGGTTATAAAGGCGTCCTACAGTTGAAGGAACGACTGACGATACGGCCTACAGCCTTAGCTCTTTCTAATAAATTCGAATTCGTTTATTCCAGTGGATGTATTTTTAACTGCAATAAATGAGTGGTGTCTATGCCTATATAGGGTGTTGCAGAAAACAGTGGAAATATTTCTAAACAGTTTTGGTAGAAATATAGTACGACCAGAAACTGAACAGCCTTGAAATGTAATTTGGGGTATTCATGGAAAAACCCAGTTGATACGTTCTAAATACATTATCAGTTAATAGGCTATCTAGTCATTACTGGCAGTGACGTTGTTTCATATAACGATAAAAATAATAATAAAACGTACAGTTATACCATTATTAAAACCAGTGACTAAAACAGAAAGAAACTACAGAATGAAGTGTACAGTAATTCTTATATGTGCCGTCATTCTTAGTTTTTTCTCCATAAGTGATGCAAAAGGTAATGTACGTATGTATATCTTACGTGAGGTACTTTATTAGAATGCAACAGCATCTGCTTAGGATTTCGATATTAGCCTAATGAGGTTATGAACTTATTATTACACAGAAAGGTCAATTTCTAACAGGTAACTTCTTGACTTTGTTCACATCCAGAAGGACGTGTGCCAGACGTGCGCAGCTGGAAACATGCTTTTCTCAAGTAACCATTTGACGATGATTTTTTGTTCTCATTAAACTGCTTAGGTTCTCATAGCTTGAACACAGAAATGAGTTTTATCAGTTATGCATATACAGCTTTCCTTAAGTGCCCTTTCCCTGTTTGTTTCTCAGCGGATCAAGTTTGTAAGTTAAAATTTGGAATGTTAAAGTATGTGCATAAGTGCCACTGGTATATTTAAGCGCAAGAATGACAATTGGACTGATTTACTCAGTAACATTACCATTGAATGTAAATAAATTGCTATCCACAAAAGGGCAATATCTTTTACAAGATAGCTGCGAAATGATGTGTTACATTTCCCCCATATGAAAGTTAAGAAAGACCTCAAAGTTGGAGCTCAGCTGCACCATCTTTTCTGGTACAATTAACTCGACCCTCATCATTAGGATCTCGGAGTAAGGGATACGAAGTTACTTCGTATTTAGTTGGATATCAAAATTAAATGGCTCCAATATCAACTTTATTTTTTCTTATAGACGCCATGTTGGATTTTTATACAAGTGAATGAGGTTTATAATTCTGATTCCAAAAATCTATAAAATTTCGTATTGCGAAACCTTAGTAGTTATTTTCAAAAAATCTGTTGTTTTAGGTAGGCCTTTAAAATATCATTAGTCATTCAATTCATATAGCAAATTTGTCGCCAAGTTATTTTCCATTTCCAGCCCTAAATTTAGTAATTCATAACCTTAGTTGGCTATGAATTTGTTGGTTGAACGAAAATTATAAGCAGACAAAAATGTATTGTGAAACCGGAACACGAAATTAACATTTTATTCATGGTAATAACCATAATCATAAATGAGCAGAGGTAAAATTTTGTTAATTCGATTGTTGAACTGCCTAAGATTGGTAGAACTGGGAAAAGCCTCCTCTTGTACATTGTTCCACAATCTCGACACCGTCGGAACAAAGAAGCGGTCGTATCGGCCAGTTATGGATGTACGAAGTTCGACACGGTTAGGATGGGACGCCAAAGTTAGGCGGGTCTGTCTGGCAGGCGCATCGCGCGGCGGCAGAGCCCGTTGGAGTAGCGGTAGAAAGGAGCTAGATCGCCGACGGCCCGCCGGTGCGAAAGAGTCCCGAGACTGTCTGTTAGAGAATATACGTCGATCAGTCGGACCACCCTCCTCTGGACAGCATCGAGCATGAATAATGTAGTCAGGGCGGCAGCACCCAGATCAGTCGGACCACCCTCCTCTGGACAGCATCGAGCATGAATAATGTAGTCAGGGCGGCAGCACCCAAAACGTGTTAGCACCACTCGAGGCTAGGCCTTATCCGGGCCTTATATAGAGTGAGAAGGTACTTCTTAGTACTAAACAAATAGCTTAGCTCTTTCCCAGCAGCTGCCGCTATTGATGAGATGTGTTCGTGCCAGATCAGGTCCTCGGTGATCTGGACTCCGACCAGCCGAAATGAATGGCTCTTTTGCAGATCTCGGCCATCCATCGAAAGCGGGTCAGCGCTAGGATGCTTTTTGTTTGTTCTGGAAGCATTAAAGTGTACAAGATTGTTGCATCCCCAGGCAGTGAAACCTCCAGGTCTGTCGTCAGAGAGGAAGTCGTCGCTAGTCTTCTTTTTTCTAGCCCAGCGGCAGAGATCGGCTTGTCACTCTGAATTCCTGCTTGTAGAGTGCTGTCATCAGCGAAGCTGTGGACTGGGTTGATCGTGCAGAAAAGGAGGTCGTTGATATGTAAGGGGAACAGTATCGGAGCCAAGACCGATCCCTGGGCAACACTCGCGATTTATGCCCCATTTAAGAAACTTCGTGTCTCATATCGCTTCAAAGATAAAACTGTTAAGAATCGAATTTGAAACAGCCAGTATATAGGTACGTTTTTCATAATAACGAGGACGGAGTGGTTCAAGATTACCAAAAATTAAGCCACCTCCTTGCTAATACAGTATTACTAGTGTGACAGAAAGTTGCCAATTCGTCAGTATTAATAGAAACCGTTGAGGGCTTTTTGTGTAATAACTGAGCGAGCTCATTATTGCTCATCTGAAGTAGATAATCTTCAGATGAGGAGATCCTCATACTGAATCTTCAATCAACAACATAAAAGAGTTATTTATTTTTCATTTTCAGGATGTACGCCTAAGGAACACGTCCCTCAATGTAAGCCCTGTTACAGTACTTGCAAAGAAATGAAAAAAAGGGTAACTAAATGTTCTCGTGTATGCAATTACACTGAGAAATGTTATTGTAAGCCTGGCATGCTTAAGAATGATAGAGGGCTATGTGTACCAAAGGATAAATGTCCATAACTGCTTGCTGCTGATAGGTGAAATAAATTAATACGTGATGTATTTTCAGTTTGTTTTTATCAATTCATGTCCCCATATCCCTTTCAATGTGTGATCAACTTCACTTAAGAATTTTACAATCAACAGTACAGATTCACTATTTTTTTCGGTTTCCTTTAAAGTATTTTCAAAATGCTCAACTTTGAGCTGGGAGCAAGGTTGGCATTTATTGGCTTCATGTTCTTTTGTTTCTAAGTGCAAATATAAATTGTTGATGAATTTGAAATAGTACAAGGAATACAATGACTAGCCAAATAAATATACTAGATTATCTGCCTTGCGTACAGACTAAATGTAAAGAGGTACAATTCTTCAGGTGATAACTTTTCTCACAGCTTCATTTTCTCTGATGATACTCGTACACTTGCTTGTTGCAGATAATTCAACGGACTCATAAAAACATACACGGCGAGTCTGCTTCAAACACGAATATTTGAAAAAACAAAATGTGGCAATAAAATATAAGGAAGATGTTGAAGTTCAGGGAAACTATATACTGCTACTGGTATGGGTAAATTCATCCCCGTTTCAATGTGGCGACGGGATCAGGGGTTTTCCATCATTTAAGAATTTTTCGGAACAGTAGAAAAAACACATTTACAATTTTTATTTATTTTTACCTGTTTATATTGTAACGAAAGAACCGTTTTGACTGTACAAAGTCTAATCCATTACTCTTACTACTTTATGGCAAATTTATAGCTAAGTCGACTGGACTATCGCCTTTCGTGGTGACTCATCGCCCTATGTTTACTGTTACTGCCAACTTTCGTCATATGGTATTTAACTTCAATAGATTTCAGCAGCCTTTCAGATCGAGCGTTATCCAAATCGGTAGATGTTTCCCGTGTTCATGTGTTCTGGCTGCAAGCTTTACCGCTCTTGACACATGGCGACGCAACGATGGTTGCTTGAGCTCCGACACTACGAAGGTGCCTCATTGTTTCAGCTATGGGGACGTTACAGTATGTTAGTATGTTATGTATGTGTGGTACAAACCTTGGAGATGAATTTTGAACCAGTTAACCTTAACTAATGGGGCTGAAATTTTGTACACACGTTTGGTTACCATTTTTAAGTCAGTTAGTCGGTACTCCTAAAGTACACATGAGGTAAGAAGTTTTATGGAGTCCTATCAATAAAATATATGAAAATTGTTTAGAAATTACCAAACTAGTTATTGACATCATGAATACTAAAAAGTCAGAGATAAAATAAAAAGTAATTTTTTAAAACCAAGCTTTTATTTAACTGTTAAAAAATTGAATCAAAAATATAAAAACATTTGTTGCGATTGAGAATAACAAAACGATATTGAAGCTCCTTTATTTCAAGTTTTCAAATAGATATTTTCCACCAGCATAAAAAAGGTGTAAGACGCCTTTATTTGAAACCTTGAGATGAAAGAGCCTCCTTATCGTTTGAATATTTACAATCGGAAAAACTACTTTCAGCCTTTTGCCTCATTTTATTAACATTCAAATAAAAATATGTTTTTATTTTGTTTACTTGCTAAACCAAGATTTCTACTTGCTCTGCTTAAACACCCACTAAAAAATTCATTTTTTAGAGAAATTCTGATACATGGAGCATACAGTTTAGGTTCATTTAAAACCTTGTTCATAGGGCCTAATTCCAATTAAGTTAATTTCGATTGCGCTTTAGCATCACATTATTTCATCCACTATGGTAACTTTGACACTGCTATGATAATTTGACCGTAAAAGATCGCTCGAATTAGGTATCAAAATTATGATAGAAGTTTATACAGGTATGTATATGACGCGAAGCCGACATAGTAGACAATTTCAATGGTCGGAGTTTATTTAGAGTCAGGCTCCAGATGTGCATAACACGAATGTTTGAATATCAAAACTATAAGAAATTGTAATGTTATTTAGCCTGCTAATATTTTATGTCTCTTTTTGTATCTACACGTGGTTGTTATTAAGTGCGTGATGATATCCAATTACGGTTCTGCCTAATTGATTAATGGTATTGACGTTGCTAATAACGTAATGATAAAAATAAATACTACCATATGATATATTAGTCTGGAAAATAATCCCTCCATTAATACCATTTGCAACGACGTATTAGTGAATAGATAACTCAAATAACATAAAAATATCATATACAGGGTGACTTGAGTTGAGTCATTAATTTTCAGATAATGATTGTAGAAGGAAGATAGACCAAAATATGTGTGTAAAAATAAAATAAAAATTAAAAAAAAATATTACCTTGTTTTATAAAGTATCCTCCCGACAAGTATTTCAGTGCGGACCTATATTTGATCGTGCGGTCTTGGAGCACCGGCATGCCCTCCCCTGTGAGGTCTTAAGTCACCTGATTCACGAGCCCGTTGTACTACATCAACAAAGGCACGAGGGGTTGGTTGCACTCGATTGGGAAACCGATCCGCATAAATCCGTGATTTGCGGCAGCATTTTTCAAAGACTCCCCCCCCGTAAATAAGAATTATGTCCACAAGTTCAGCATTTTCGTAAACATGTGCCATATTTTATTTCGTTTGAGCCACGCAACAAACACCACTATTCACTCACGCGTTACCGACTGACCCATTGACTGAATACAACTGTATAAAATTGTAGTAAAAACATCGTGATAAGCGTTTCAAATTCTTTCGCTTTTTTTGTTTCCGATGCGATGAACGGATAAGGCGGAGTATATCCGTTGTTGCCAAACACGAGCACATAATATTATTATTGAGACAGGGCGGTACTCAAACTTCTAAAGGGCTATAACTTTGTTACTTTAATTTTACCAGAAAAATGTTAAATAAAAAAAGCATTTCTTTTGATCAGATCTACTCACTGTTAAAATAAATGACTCAACTTCGAAGTCACCTGTATATATACATTAAACGTCTGTCTGGCAGTAGCTGTCAAATCCGCGTATTGAGACCAGCTACCTTCCACGTTCCCTGACGCTTCTAATGATTAGCAAACTACCATTTCCATTTCGTCATCCTTAGTCTATGTATCCTTTTTACTTCCCACGCCTACGGACGAGAAAGTGTTGTAGCCACAAGAAAATTTCTTCAATGAGATAATTATGTTTTTGTATGTATAGTCAACGCCAAACAAAGTGGCGTGCACGTCATCACGATAAAAATTCCCCGACCTAATGCCTAGGTATCTATCACAAACAATTGCTCTATTGTAGTTTCATATTAATGTGATATATAAATTGTAAAATGGTCATTACTCTGTTATTATGGTTAATAGTCATATAAACATTGTTATTAAAATATCACATAAGTTGCTTTCTGATAAATTTAGACGCATTATGCGAAATAAAATGTTTTGCAAACGCTCCAAACACTTATCGACATGTAAACGCACTAAACCGATTTCGCAGCGTTGACACATTGTCACCTTGAAACTTATTTAAACTGGGAACTGACATTTGTATTAATTTTGACACTGAATCAATTTGTGGCATTTCAAATCTTTATAAATCCTTTGGCCCCGCATACTGTAAATCAACAACTGTTTGTTTCAAAACAAAATTATTCATGTTACGAGTAGATAAAGGCAATTTTGGTATATAAAGATGCCCAAACAGTTAAATAGTCGGTGTAAGGAACTCGTGGCCTCGTTAATGCACTACTTTGAGCAAGAAAGGGACAACAACGGGCCTTTGTTGCCTTTAAATGCTGTTCAAGAGGTAGGTTACTAATAATTATATGTAATGTATATTAATAATAGTGAAATTTTATTTCATTTTTTGTAGCGTGTTGCTGCTGCTTTAAAAATTAGTTTAAGGACAGTTAGTCGTATTTCCGAGGGTGTGAAAAGTGATTCAAATTTAGAATCGCCCAAGAAAAAGCGGAGTTATATTAAACGTGTAACCAACACAGCGACATTGGATACAAGTGCCATTCGAGAAGTGATCTATAATATATATCACAAAAGTAAGATCTTATTATAATAACTTATCAGAAATTTGCATTAATTTGTTAACTAAATTATAATGTCATATTACACATGGTTTCAGAAGAACAAGTTACGATACAAACTTTATGGTCTCGATTAAGAGATAGGGCATTATTTGATGGTAGTGCCACGTCTTTAAGGCGGTTGCTTAGAGATCTTGGATTCAAGTGGCTTAAGGACAATCCGCGACGAGGGCTCATGGAACTACCAAGTATAGCTTTGAAAAGGGTGGAATTTCTAAGGCAATACAATCAAGCCAAGGTTGAGGCCTTATACCAGTTTGTCTTCCTCGATGAAACTTGGATATTTCAAAATGGTACCATAGGTCGCTCTTGGCAAAATGGAAACCAAAAAAGCGTGAAAGCTATTAAAACAGATGGTAAAAGGTATGTACTTTTACACAATTTGCACTATAAAATTTAAAACTTATATATTTTAGATACATTATATTACATGCTGGAAATGAAAATGGGTTTATTGAGGGTAGTGAAGCGATATTTTCTTCGAAAACAAAATTGAGCGATTACCATGGAGAGATGAACCAGGACAATTTTTTGAAATGGTTTCAACATCAGTTATTAGAAAAATTGGAGAGTCCATCTATGATTATACTGGATAACGCCCCTTATCACAGCATGATATTGAACAAAGTGCCCAACAATGCATGGACAAAAAAAAATATCCAAGACTGGTTGACAAATCAAAACATACCATTTTTAAACACAATGTTTGAAACAGAGCTATTGAGTATTGTTGCTCGGTACATAATGCTTCTTAATTATACATATTTTGGTCGACAGTTTATATTTCTTTTGTTTATTCCTATTCTTAAAATAACTGCTTTTTTAGAAACAAACCACCTAAAATATACGTGATTGATGAATTGGCGGAACAACATGGGCACAAAGTTCTTCGTCTGCCTCCTTACCATTGTATATTTAACCCTATTGAGTTAATTTGGGGCATAGCAAAAGGTTACTATAACAGACATATTGGTAGAGATGGTAACAGTGAAAAAGACTGTTTGGATATGTGGAACGAGGCTCTACAAACGGTTACCCCAGACATGTGGAAAAATAGTGTTCGACATACTGAGCAAGAAATTTTTAAATGGTATGAAAGAGAACGAATTTTTGATCGACCAGACATCGAACCTTTAATAATCAACTTTGAGAGTAATGAAGATTCAGATTCAGACAGCGCTGAAGAAAGAAACTCCGACTAACTTTATTGTACA